CCCTAACTGTGTGGCGGAAGTTGTGACATTTGATAAAGAGGATAAAATCATCATCATCTCCAGCCGGCGAATCCCCAAAGGAGAGGAGGTGAGAGGAAGCAGCTCTCTCTCTGCCATTCCCCAGAGCCGAGTTCCAAGACCAGTGCCCTCAGATCAGATCTTCTCTGCGGGGCTGGCACTGATTCTGCTGTCTTCTCTTAACAGCTGACCTATGACTATCAGTTTGACTTTGAGGACGATCAGCACAAGATCCCCTGCCACTGTGGAGCCTGGAATTGTCGGAAATGGATGAACTAAAAAGCTTTGAGGCTACCAGGCAGGGGAGTCCCCCTACCCCCAACCTCTTCCCTGAAAGGGATGAGGGGGAAGAGAGGTAGCAGCCAGAGCCAGGACCCAGGGGTGGGGCTGCCGGCTGACCGGAGCCCCTGGAGCGGGAGGCTGGGGCAGAGGGCCCTAGGCCAAGCCCACCCTGGGCACCAGGGACAACCCTCTTCCCCGCCACCGGCCCCCAGGCTGGCATTTCTGCCCCCAGCTCCAGGAGGGGCCAGACAGAAGCAGCCATTGGGCATCTCAGGTTTGAGGGGAATATGGGCCGGGAACTACCCAGAAGCATCTGGGAGGCAGCAGGGAGTGGGGAGGAGGATACGTGGCTGGGCATCACAGCCCTGCTGCTCCCACCGACCTCTCTGGCCCAACTCAAGGCTGCAAAGAGACTTGACTAAGCTTGACAATCCCAAAGGCCGGGTCCCACACCTGGCCCTGCCTGCCAGGTTCTGCCCCCACCCTCACCCCCATCCCCTTCCCTCTCAATCTGTCTCTGTCTCCCTCTTCTCCTCTGTGTTTGTCTCTCTATGGGTTGTGTTTCCTTGTTTTCCACTCTGACAAATGCAACATGAACGGGAAAGAGGCGTCCAGCTGCCCAGGAGGGCAAGCCGGGCAAGCCGGGCAAGGAGACCCCGCACCCACACCTACCTCATTTAAGTGTTGGATTTTTTGCTGTTCTGAAATGTGAGACCCTCTCCAAGCCCCCTACTGCCCCAACTCTCTCCCCCACCTCACTGCCCTCTTCTGAGTGGGTGGAAGGGGGGTAGGAGGAGGAAGAAGAAAACAACAAAAAATCCATCTTCGTTTTTAATTCTGGGCATGGGATGGCGGTTGAGGCTAATGATGAAGATTGGGGATGACTGTTCCCTAGTTGCTCTAGGACTTCCTTCTCCATCTGGACATGGGGGCAGGAGGTGTGTGCTAAACCTAGGACCAGGATATCTCCCTCCTGCTTTCCCGACCCCATCATGAGCCCATTTGCCCTCCAGCCCCTAGATGGGGTGGGTGGGTGGTAGGGTGTGGGCTATCCCTGAGTGGCATGCCCATACCCAGTGAGGCAGGGTGTGGCCCGGAGCTCCCACTTTCCCTCAGTCACCAAACTGCTGCTGGTCTGGTGGGAAGGGGTGGTGATGTGGGGGTGGGGAGCTTAGTGTCAGCGAGGGGAGGGTGGGGGGTATTTATCTATTTATACATGGGATTGTACATAGTCTTGTGGGGCATGGGGGAGCCGGCTGGAGGTGAGAACCCTCCCCTCTCCCCCCACCCCCGGGGAGAGCAAATGTAAAACTACTAATTTTTGTGCTTTATATATTCTATATAAATATATCTATTTTCTTTTTACAAAACCAGTTTATAAATGGTAGGGGGGCGTGGGGCGGACACCTGGAGCTCCCCTTGTGGGGGGGCCCCCTCCATTACCCAACCTACCGCCCTTTTCCTCACCCCCTCCTCCCCACCCCCTGGCTGTGACTGCTGTAAGGTGGGGGTAAAGAGGCTGGGCAATTCCCACCCCCTGTTGTATAGTTGGATTACCCGTTGTAACGCACAAAAGTGAGCTGGCCCCAGGGGGGAGCCAGAGGGTGATGGGTTGGTTCCCTGCTTCCCTTTCCCTCCCCTTTCTGCCCAAGCTTGTGCTGCAGTTGAACCTCTTCCTGGGGGTAGGGGTAGATCAGGGGGTGGGTGAGGCCCCAAACCCCTCTCTGATAGGGAGCCGTGGGGTTGAAGATGAAGCTTATATGCAGTTCTCTCCTAGGGGCTGTGGGCAAAGGGCATTTTGTAATTAATATTTTCAAGAATAAAATGTCTGGAGTGTGGGGTGGGCTTGGTGGCGGTGGATGGGCAGGCCTGCTGGAGGGGGAGCACGGTCGCTGTTGTGATTTTAGGTTTGTTTTTGTTTTTGAATTTGGGGGGTTGTGGATTGATGGGGGTAGGGAGATTTTTTATTTTAAGCTGCTTCCTCAACTGTTTCACGCTGCAAACGTTTAAGAGAATAACATCCCCCCACCCTCACAGACACCGCTGTGATTAAATCAGACAGTGGGGAGACTGGGCTGCTACCTCCAAAGCCAGTGGATGTTCCTTTTCCAAGAGCAAAAGGTCTAGGCTACAGGGAGGGGGAGATTGGCTCCTGTGAGTCAGGCTCTGATTGGGGCTTGGGCCCTGGGACTGGGAAAAGGGGAGGGGGCAGACTTTGTAAGCATATGCTAGGTATCCGGTAGTCCTGTAGAATTTAGTAAAGAAACCTTATACAGTTTTTAATTTTTATATAAACTAACTCAGACCCAAGCTACAAGGTTGGAATTTTGGTTGTTGGTTTTTTTAAGTACCCCGCCTGTATAATTGCATCAGAATTCCCTCCTCCCCCTTCCCCCCCGTGTTTGTATTTTGGGTTGGTTTACACTTGCACATATTCAACTTTCAGTTTTTCCCCTTTACAGTCTTCTCCCTTCACCTCCAGGACCCTCCCCCTTTTTAAAAAATAAATCGCTGACAAGTGTGAATCCCGTGAAGACTTTATTTTGTGTTGTGTGTATCCTGTACAGCAAGGTTGGTCCTTCGTAACAGCGGATGAAATGATTCCCTTTTTTAAAGCGCCCTGTCTCCCTCCACCCCCAGCGCCCCTGTCCTTGGCATGTTTTGTATTGGCGATCATTCTGAACTGTACATAATTTATGTTGCAAGAGGCAAAGGGCAAGTTTTGGATTTTGCTTCTTCCAAGTTTGTTTTTAAACGACAAATAAAAAAAGAACATTTTAAATACAAGCGGCTCCGTCCCATCACCCTCGCCGTCAGCCGGATCTGTGAGGTCCGATAGGACTCAAGGGAGGGCGGTTACCAGGCGCGGCCGCACCGGAAGGGTGAGCTCCCCGTTTTCCGCCTTTAGCTGGCGTCTGTTCTAACGTAAGCGGAAGTGGCGTAGCGGTGCCGGACGTGGGCGGGGCCTCCCCCCTTATCCCGCAAGCTTCCTAAAGCGAACGTAGCCAGCGGGCACGTCTTGCAATGGAGACGGTGAGGAGCAATGGAGGGCGGCGGGGGGCGCTGTGGAGCCCAAGGCCCCGCATAGGGTTCGGGGAGGCCTGGGCAGGGGCCGGCGCTGGTACCCAGTAAACGAGAAGCCGGTGTCTAACCTGCTCGTTACCGTGCCACTGTGCTTTTTCACCGGGTGCATCGCCTGAGATGGGCCGCGCCGTGCCTGCCTTCCGTCTGCAGTACTCTCAGTCCAGCGGGCAATAGCTAGCTCCCTCCTTGGATCTCGGGACTTCTTTCCTTTTAGCACCTCAGCCCCCTCAGAGGTTTGCCTGAGAGAGCAGGGTTGTTATTCAGCTTTCCTGGGAGTGGCAGGGGGATTCCAAGAGACCCCTGCTTGCAGGTAGCACCCGGTCTTGGTTGTCTAAGTGTGATCTCTGCAATCCCTGGAAAGAGGGACCTCTGAAAGACTTTTATACTGCCTCGAGGTGTCCCATGAGGTCACATTCCCTTAATAAGACTGAAAAGTGGGTTTTCCCTGAAATAGGGGATCGTTTAGAGGCCTTTGTGTCTCTGGACAAGTTTAGATTATTCTGTGCTCTGCGATTCTAAGCAGGCATGTTGGAATAACCTATTGTTGGCCAGCAGGCATTGAGCAGTTGAGGCAGGTCCATGTCATCCTCCCAGAGATGCTGCAGATTTCCTGCTACATGGACCCACCCTCACAGGAGCCTTTTCTAGCACTGAACCCTTTCTATTCACTTCCTTCTCCAAGAGTTTATAACCATGTATCCTTTTCAAGCAGAGTAACTTTCCTATCTTGGTTTTTATCATCTGATACTGTAGTTGTGTACAGGCTGCAGGTTCACCTTTCTTTGGGTCAGTTACCTGCCCAGAGTAATTATTTTACTGCATCCTTTCTCTGCCTGCAGAGAGATGTAACATGTCCCTCAGGTTATAAAGAAGACAGACCAAAGTGGTATACTGATTTGCAATTGATCACCCAGGCCAAGGAGTCAGTTGTTACAGATTAAGAGAATTTAGAACAAGAATAAATGGTCTGATTCCATAAATTCAAAATAACACAACAGTTCTTACTTGTAAGTGTATTATGGTTTACAACGTATTTTTATATAGATTTCCTAATTTAACCCACACACTTTATGTACTTTAGGTTCTTGGGATAGAAATTGTTTTAAAAAGAAGCAAAAGGAAAACCTCTGCTTTGAAAATGCTCAGTCTAACTGGAGTAAGGGTGAGGGCAAACAGTGACAGCTATTACTTGAGGTAGGCTATAATAAATGCTGTCATCAAGATGCAGAGGACTGGAAGCACAGGGAAGGGAAAAAAATTACTGTGAACCTAAGAGGGCATTGCAGGTTAAGAGAACAGTGTGAGCAAGAGCATAGAAATTGAGGTATGTAGAGATTAATTGGGTATGAGAGAGTGGCTTAATGTTGTTGGAGTTTTAGGTTTTGGTCACAGTGGGGGAAAAAAAAGACTGCAAAAGTAGGGTGAGGTCAGGTTGGAGGTATTGCATACCTCACTAAGTTTGATCTTTGTTTTGTAATAAGGGAACTCGTGGAAGATTTATGAGCAAGGCAGTGTGTGTGCTTTAAGACTGTTTTTAACAGTTTTCTGTAAATGGATCTACTTCAGAAAGTAGTGAGCTCCTGGTTGCTGGAGAAGAAAGTCCTTTTGAAAGGTGACAGCATGAAAGACGAATTAAAGAAGAGGTAGATTTAGGGCAGGAGACCAGTTTAGAGAATGTTGCAGAAGTAAGGTAAAAGCCTAAGTTAAATCTGTGAAAGTGGAAAGGAGAGACATAGACTTGAGGCATATCAGTTTAGCTGATAAATGTTAAGGACACGTTTAGGTCATTCCCTACTCTGTATTTCCAAGCAGACATGTTGGCATAGCTCATTCTTGGGGGAATCAAGTCTACAGTTCTAGGCACTTGGGAGCGAGCAGTGCTGAAAACAAAGATGGGAACCACAGTAAGAATAAAACAGAATTGGAGGGACAGGCGCTGTTTTGTTTTTTTATTAAAGTATTTGAGGAGTCTCTGACATCTGTGGTTGTCCAGCAAACAATTGGAAATATGGATCAGGAGTTTGGAAGAAATTGTGAATCTATGTGTCAGTTCTAACCTGTCTCTGTACTAATATTTGTACTTACATAGTACAGTGGTACTTTCTCACGTTCCCTATGTTACTAAAAGTAGAGGAGGAATGAACATAATTACCCCACTCCTGTGTGGAGAAACAGGCAGAAAGATAAAGTCATTCAGCTGTGTCTGACTCTCTTCTGTATCTAGCTCTATTTAGCTGGATATATCTATTTTCTCTCTGTAACTTAGTCGTATGTCTCTTTGTTCATATCAGTGGACATTATTATCATTATCAATATGAGAGTTAACAAAACAATATGTAAAACCCCATGCTAGATGGTATGGGGCTACAAAGAAGAATAAGATAATTCCAGGCTTCCAGGAATTTATAATCTGGATAGATAAAAATAACTATAGCACAGTATAGTGTGGTATGTCAGTATTATATGGTAGATACAATAATTTCTACAAATAGCTGTTTCTGTGTCTTTGTATATAGATTTTTATGAGACTATCATATGTCATGTGTGTATCTTTACCAATGAACAGCCCTCTCTCCCACTTACAAATGATGAGGCTGTTGTTCCGATAGCCTTGCCAAAATGCCAGGCCAAGTTGATAGTCTGCTCCTACCCTGTCCCATTAGGGGAGGGAAGTTTAGGGCTGTCTTGCCAAATTGTTTACCAGCCAGCCTCCCAGGTTCAAGCCAAAGCCTTTAATTTTATATTACTACATCAGCTATGGAGGTGAAGTATGATTTTAAGTTAGTTTAGGGATATAACCCAAAGCCAATGGACTCAAACTGTTGATTCCAGTGGATGAAAATTATCATGACCCCTCCTGGGTTCATAGATGACAATGAAATTTCCAAACGTTCCCACTTGAGGGAGCACAGAGATGTTTCTGAAGGTTTCTCTATATTCAAAGCACACTCTAATCTCAGACTGTCATGGGCAAGGAAACTTGGAAAACCAGTATCCTCTGGGCTGTGGCAGCCTTCGACTCAAAAGGGTACTAAGAGGACTCATGTCCCCAGTTTCAGAACATTTATGCTGCTCATCCATTCCTCAGCCATTCAAGCTTTAACTCTCTCTCTGACAGTCAGCTGCTGGGATCTTCTCTCAATGGTAAGGAGTATGCCTATGATTCCAGTGCCCACAAGTATTCTTAGTGTTTGGGCGAAAGCAGAGTTGTCTTTGGCTCCTGTGTTTTTATAAAGAGGATCTGTGAGAATCTTGTAGGACCATTCCTAAGCCCAGATTTTCTAGTTTCAGCTTTTAAGACCTAATGTTTCATTAGGCAGTGTAATATGTAAGGACATGAACTTTGGAACCACATAGATCTGTGTTCAAATCCCTATTCCACCCATTACCAGTCATGTGACCTTAGGCAGGTTGCCTAATATTTCTTGAACTTCAGTTTCCTAATCTGTGAAAATAAGGCTAATAATAGTATTTACCTCAGAGTTGTTATGAATATTAAATGAATTAATATTTCAAAAGGGTTTTATAGTGCTTTAAAGGAAGTCATTAGTTCACCAGCCCTTCTAATGCTAGGCTAAAGTGGAAGGAGCCTAGGAAAGGCTAAATCTCTGTTTCTCTTGTCTCTCCAGGTAACTTCTTCAGATAGCTTCCCAGCTGTGGAAAATGAGCATCCTCAAGGTAAGTGTACTGAAGAAAAGAAACTGGGTATGAAAGCAATAGCCTGACCCTAATTTGTCTTCAGCAATGCTTTGGAACCTCTCCTAGGATCCCTCTTGGGAAAATCAAAGCTGGGCCAGATAATGTGGCAAACCTTACAAACCAGGAACAATAATTTGTCAAGATCACTCAGGAATAAATATTGGGGGATGGGGATGATCATTTTCTTCAATATTCAAACCACTTGGGAGGAACTTTCGATGTACAGGGAATACTCTATAGGCAACTCTGGGCTGGCTAACCAGGTTTTAGAAGTTCCTGGTATTTTGTGAGTAGCCCAGAAATAATGCCACTAGGATTTTATCATCCAGCAAGCTCACTAAAGCCACTAAGTGTACACAAGAAATTATAGAAAGGCCTTGAAAGCTCTTAGAACTAATCTAGAAATAGAAGTACTAAACCCTAAAATCCAGACAATTCCAGCACCTGCCCAAATACCTGGTTAGAATGGAATGGTCCAACTAAGTCATCGAGAAAGAGGCAGAACTTATAGGCATCTCTGGTGTAGGATTTTGCCCAGGAACACTCTTAGGTCTTCCAAAAACACATTTATGGCATTAGGAGTGAGTACACACTTTCTCAGAGCCTTGAAATATGGGCTGAGATCCTAGGACATATTATTAAGAGTCTTTGAGCTCTCCATGAGAATTTTTTAATGTTCTGTTTTCATTTTGTTGGTATCCAAATAAGTTACTATAGTCATAGTTTGAATTATCTGGATAGCTCTTCATAATTGAGTACTACCACATGGTTTCAGTGTCTGTTTTATGTTTATGAGTACATTTGCATTAACACCAAAGCAAGGGGTCAGAAACTCAAATTGTCTACATGAACCAAGCAGTGATATGGGCTGCATATGACTTGACAACCTGTAGATCTCATTGCATCTAAAAGGAGGCAGCAACTATCCAGGTCTGGTCAACTGTTACTATTCTGGAATTTAAAACCAAGTTTTGTCAGATTTTCTGATTTTAAAAAGAAACTAAAAATTTAGATTTGTATGTAAATCTCTAGATTTTTAAAATTTGGCAACTGATTTATTTTAAAAACACTAGGAAAGCCAAATCAAATGTGTTTGTAGACCCATAGCCTAAAAGGATAGGATTTAACTGTTAATGTAATGTGTCTTAAACTGGTGTCAAAGACATGTTCTTGGGAGTCTGTGGGTTTTCAAATTTGAAGAACAATGGTGAGCTTCCAGTTAAAGATGGTAGATTGAATATATGCATCTACTTTTCTTCCTTCACAAAAAGCCACTAAAACAACCATAAAGGAATTTTATTTTAAAGGTACAAACCCACCAGAATAGGAAGAACAAGAGAGGAGGCAATAGCAATGAACTTTTGGAAGCTGGAAGGCAGACGGAAGAGGGGTAAATGACGTAGCAGACCTCAGAAAACAGAATTATAAACTTGCAGTGGGGAAAGCCAAGAAGCATTGAAGGTCTGAGAAGCAGTCAGATCCCAAGACTGCCTCCTCCATTGAGTGCAGCTGGGCAACTTCTCTTTCCAACTCTGGCAAAGACTGGAGATCTGGAGAGGGACTCAGACCCAGTTGAGGGCTGAGGTGCTCTACCAAACACAGGAGCATGAAGTGAATTATATTGAATGCCAATACCCCAGTCCTTTTCAGAATGCTGACAGAAAAGACTTCATCCTCCAAGCATGATGTTGAATGAATGATCTTCTCTAGAATTTCCTTGAGGGAAAAGCCCTAAAAATGTAACTATTGAGTATTCCCTATCTAAATGGCTCAGTCAGCAAGGCTCACTTACATACTTAAAGCTTCCAGTCAGCTTTAAAGACACCACTCTTAAAATATGGTTTGAACCCTCCTTTATTTTTTTTTTGAACCCTCCTTTAAACCAAGAATTATAAGACATCTAAAGCCTCTACCATTTTTTTAAAAAATGATCCAAACTGCCCCCACCATGAAAATGAAAAAGCAAAAACAACAGAGGGAAAAAGTCAATGCATAGAGAAGAAAACTTTTAAAATTAACATTAATGTACATTCAAATAAAAAATATATTAACACCATGAAACAAGTACAGGATAATTTTTTTTTAAGTTTGAGAAAACAAAAAGGTGCTCTTTGACATTTAAAGTATAATGGCAAAAAATTTAAACTAAGAGGTTTGGAAATCAAGTTGAAGAAATTTCTCAGAAATAAAATTAAAAAAAAAAAAAAAAAAAACACCTCACCAAAAGAAAACCAAAAACAAAACCTTAAAGAGTCAGTTTAGGAAGTCCAATATCTAAATAATAGGAGTTACAGAAAAAGAAAACTGACAACACAACAAAGGAAAAGATCAAGGAAATAGCTCAGGAACATTTCCTTAAACAAGGACATTAGTTTTCATATTGAAGGAATTCATTGAATATTCAGTGCAGTATAAGAAGTTGACCCACCCAAAGCGCAATCATCATGAGATTTCAAAACACTGGCAACAAAGAAAATCCTGACTTTCCAGAGAGAAAAAAACAAGTCACATACAAAGAATCAGAATTGCCTCAGACTGTCAACACACCAGAGCTAGAAGACAATGGAGCAATGCTTTCAACATCCTGTAGAAAATAAATTCCAACCTGGAGTTCTATATCCAGCCAAATTCTAAATCAAAGATGAGGGTAAAATAAAGATACCGGCAGGCTGCAAGATCTCAAAAAGGTTGCCTTCCATGCACCCTTTCTCAGGAAGCTACTGGAAGATGTGCTCCACTAAAATGAGAGAGTATTCAAAAAGATGAAAACATGTGATATAGGACACGAGAGAGCTAATACAGAAGAGATGTGAAAGTGGCCACCTGGGTGGTGATGAAGGAACATTTCAGGGTGACGACAGTATACACCAGGCAAACCAGCCCAGACTTGAGCAGGTCAGAAGGCTCCGAGAGACTTCTTTGGGTAGTTTAAATTGATAGACTATCTAATGCTTCTGAATTTCTTCAAAGGAGATTTAAACAATTGGTGAAGAGTTTGGGGGTTGAATTAGTTATAAATACTATTCATAGAAAGTTAAGCAAACAAAGAGATAAGACAATTATTAACTCCAAGGAAAACAAAGTTGTGAAAGAAAAAAAATCAGAGTTTACTGTTTAGCTTAGCTCTGAATAATGAATATCCAGTCAAAATTATTTAAATATTGATGTAACCAACATTATATTTTAACTTCTGGGAGGATGGAGGATTGGGTAGTGCATATTTGTGATGGGGATCCCAGTAGAAAAGAGAACTAAAAATTCTCATCTTCCTTGGATGATAATAGATAATACTCAAAAGTGAAAAAGTCAAGAAAGAGCAATCTAAGCCTGTTATTTATAGACATAGAATAAGTACCAAAAAAATCAGCCAAAAGAGTTCCCATCTCTGTGTAGGGGTAGTAGAGGGAAGTGGGTGCCAGCGACTGCAGTTTTTCTTGACAAAATTTGTAAAACTGTTTGACGCTTTAAACTGTGTACTTGTATAACTTTGGATAAAAAAATTAAAATTAAAGACGATTGGCGTAAGATTTAAGTGCATGAACTTTGGAATCAGGTAGACCTGTGTCTGAATCTTTCTTGTCACTTACTAACGGTGTGAACTTGAGCAGTTTATTTAACGGCTTTCTACCTGTTTTTGTCATCTGAAAAATGAGGATACTATTTGCCTTATAGATTTGTTGTAAGGATTAAATGATACAGTATTTCTAAGTACACATAGCATAGTAGGTTGCACATTTGGACTGTTATTTTGGGGGTTGTTGCTCCACTTTAGAGCAAGCAAATAAAATCAGAAGACTGGAAAGATAAACACAGGCAGAGTCTCCTATTTGTCTGGAATAAGTGGGATGATTTCTTACGGTCAGCCCAAGATGGACTCTCAGGGTGTTTGGGGCCAGGTTGATTGCGCATTGGGCTTCAACTTCTTGTTGATCTGAAATGGCCCAACTTGGACCATGACTTTCTCATCGGCGGGTCTTAAAAAAAATTTAAGCTTAATTGAGCAAAGAGAACAAGTGAAAATGTGCTAAATATATGAAAGGGAAAACTTGAATTAAAGATGAGAAAAAACTTTTAGACTAGAACAGGTTAATGAGATATAGACTTTCTGTTTCAATTGGCTATCTTTTGCCTAAGGAGCCAATAGGTATAGTCCTACCTGGAGATGGAAGTTGGATGAAATGGTTTCTAAGGGGTTGGTTCCTAATGGTACAGTAGGAACAATACAGATAATAATATAGGGAACCTTATTTTAAAAATCATGCTCTAAATATTTGCGCAACTACAACACTTTTATTTTCTGCCTCTTTTGATTGTGGGTTGTTGCATGGAAGGAAGCTACTAACTGTCCCACCCTATGCAGAGACCCCAGAATCCAACAATAGCGTGTATACTTCCTTCATGAAGTCTCATCGTTGCTATGACCTGATTCCCACAAGCTCCAAATTGGTTGTATTTGATACGTCCCTGCAGGTGGGTGAAATCCTTTTTCCTTTCCTCTCATCCCAAGATCACCCCATCTCTTTCTATGGGGTTAGTGTCATGTTTTCCCCCAACATACCCATCCCAGGTTCTTTTAAAGTCCTGCCTGCCTGTGAATTTCCCTTTTGTCAATAAAATTCTTTTGGCTATAGGTAAAGAAAGCATTCTTTGCTCTGGTGACTAATGGTGTACGAGCTGCCCCTTTGTGGGATAGTAAGAAGCAAAGCTTTGTGGGTAAGCAAAAATTTCTGGAACACAGTATTATTGCATCTTGTGCTGGGCATGGAGAAAAGCTTTGAGCACTGCTGAGGGTTCTTGTCTTGACCTCTAGGTATGCTGACCATCACCGATTTCATCAATATCCTGCACCGCTACTATAAATCAGCCTTGGTAAGGAACCTTAACTTAGCCCAATGATCAAAACCATTTCCCCTGCCTAAAGTCCCTCATTTTCATTTCTTCCAAGCAAATCACAAGAGGTTTATGAAGAAGGGAGATCAGGTCTCAAGTTCTGTTGCTTCTGCCTCCAGGTACAGATCTATGAGCTGGAAGAACACAAGATAGAAACTTGGAGAGGTATGTAGAGAATCGGAAGTTGTAAAAGGATAAAGGGATGAAGAATTTCCTGGGAAATGGTTTTCCATGGTGGTATTTTGTGAACCTTTCTTTTCCCTTCAGAGGTGTACCTACAGGACTCCTTTAAACCACTTGTCTGCATTTCTCCTAATGCCAGGTGAGTTCCAGTTACCCATATATCCAGAAGGGGAAGAGCCTTGCCATCAACATAGCTAAGGCCCTAGACATCCAAAGATCCAGAGGCAGAAGAGAGAAAAAAGACAGACAGACAGACACACACACACACACACACACCCTTCCCTCCCCCAACTATCAGTTTCCCCTGTATATAAACACACTCTAAGGAGGTATTTAACCATCCTCAGGACCAGCACTGCGGTACTTATCATTATCCCCAAACTTTCCACAGCTTGTTTGATGCTGTCTCTTCATTAATTCGAAACAAGATCCACAGGCTGCCAGTTATTGACCCAGAATCCGGCAACACCTTGTACATCCTCACGCACAAGCGCATCCTCAAGTTCCTCAAATTGTTTGTAAGTGCTCCTCAGTCCAGTTTTTACTTCTTATATACTGGGTTGGAAGGGTATCCAAGGGTAGTATGGGGGGCCTTGAAAATCAAGCCGATTTCTCTTTCCTCAGATCACTGAGTTCCCCAAGCCAGAGTTCATGTCTAAGTCTCTGGAAGAGCTACAGATTGGCACCTATGCCAACATCGCTATGGTCCGCACTACCACCCCTGTGTACGTGGCTCTGGGCATCTTTGTACAACACCGAGTCTCAGCCCTGCCTGTGGTTGATGAGAAAGGTGAGAGATTGGGCAAAAGGAGAGGGAAGGCTCCAGGGAAGCCAGGATGGCTCTGGCTTCTCAGCTCAGCCTGAAGGGTGATTCTCTGGGCAAGGGGAGCCTTGGATGCCAGATTCTCCTTGCTGAGCTGCCTCTGTCCCCCTAGGGCGTGTGGTGGACATCTACTCCAAATTTGATGTTATCGTGAGTGATTGTGGAGGGACTGGGAAAATGGCATGTTCAATATGGAGAGGGAGAAGAGTCTCCTCTGGGGCCTAAGGGATTTAAGAAGCTTCTAGGCTTTGAAATCCTATTTGAAAAGGAATTGAATGAGCTGAGTGTGGCTCATGGGCATGGCTAACAACTGCCCTAAATCCCTCTGGTGAGGTTGGGTGGGCTCCAGGTGTGAGGGCTGGCTTCCTTGCTTCCCTGCAAGCACCTTCCCTTTTCTCCCCAGAATCTAGCAGCAGAAAAGACGTACAACAACCTAGATGTGTCTGTGACCAAAGCCTTGCAACATCGATCACATTACTTTGAAGGTGTCCTCAAGTGCTACCTGCACGAGACTCTGGAGACCATCATTAACAGGCTGGTGGAAGCAGAGGTAGGGAGGAACAGTGATGCAAAAGGAACTGGGGAAGCAGCCTTGAGAGAGGGGTTTGGCAAGGAGGGTAGGGCCTAAAGGGCTCCCCCTAACTGAGGCTGGCACTAAATATCCCTTGTTGCTCTCTGCAGGTTCACCGACTTGTAGTGGTGGATGAGAATGATGTGGTCAAGGGAATTGTATCACTGTCGGACATCCTGCAGGCCCTGGTGCTCACGGGTGGAGAGAAACCCTGAGCTGGGGAAGGGGTCAGATGGCAGCAAGGGATATGCCCACTCACTGTCCTCCCAAAGCTGTGGAAACCACAGATGGAACCTTGAGAGAATTGTAACTCTGTTCCCTGTTTGGGACCCCCCCGCCCCCCAACCCTTCTACCTTGGAGCTGGGAAAGGTGGGGAGGGAGAGGAGAATGGATTTTTAACTGTCCTATCCTCACACATACGCTTGAGGAAAACTTCCAGCCCAGCCCAGCCCATCCTAGCGGGTCCTCTTAGACTCAGCCCCTGTTCTGGGTGAAATATGAACTCCATGCCCCTCAGGCAAATTCTGATCTCTAAGAGATCACAGACCTTACCCAGCTTTTGCCTGTATGTCCGTCCCTGACTCCAGCCTAAGATAATAGCACAACAAAACTCTTCGTAAAAATCTTTTTATTCATCCTGTTTCATGCTGTATGGAGGAGGCTAAGTCCATTTAGTGACATTTCTTCTCATAAGAGGAGTAGGGAGGACAGCCTTTGGGTTCCTGTGCTGTGTGCATATGAAGGGAGGTGGGGTTAGGTGGAGGAGGAAGGCAGAGTGGTTAGCTGAGGTTATTGCTTTTCATGTAAAACCTAATTAAAATGACAGGAATCTCTTCATGGTATTGCAGTGTTTGCTTTTTATAGTTGATAGATATTCTTGCTTCAACCTTCCTACTTCATGTGGCTTCTTCAGCTTAATAATAATAATAATAATAATAATAGCACACATGCTTATATAAAACTGTCAGGCACCTTTCTCTGCTTTACACATATTAATTCATTTAATCCTCAGAACAATAGTAGATATTATTCCAGTTTTATAGATTTAAAAGAAACAGCACAGAGAGGCTCAATAACAAGCCAAAGGCCACACAGCTAGTAAAAAGTAGAGCAAGGATTTAAACCCAAACAGTCTAGCTCCGGAGCGCATGTTCTTTACAACTACACTAGACTTAACTACCTTTCTAAGTTTCCATTCATAGATGTTCCCCACCCTAATCCCTGTGGTCGTTCTTATTACTCCATTTTCACCTCTGCCTGGATTATAGCTGGGACCCCAGGAAAATCCTATAACAGTATTAGGTCTCCAGAGAGTAGACAGACTGAATGTTTCCTTTAAGCAAGGAGACATGCTACCATCAGCCTTTCTTAGAGAAGGTTGGACTGTGTGTTTGGATTTTGCTAAACTGGCACTGTCTTTGAACCTATAAATCCCTGGTGATTCTTCCAAGGTGAGAATGAGCTGGAGGGAAGGGGAGGGGGTAGCAGCAGGACTTATGGTCACCCTATCAGACCCTTTCCCTGTGCTGAAACGGTCTGGGCCAAAACAGTAGTCAGCACCTAGCATAAGGACACCTAGACTGTTGGGTATGAGCCCAATTCTAGGTACCATTTCACTGCTGCCTTGCAGGTAAGATAACATTTCTGTCTTGGATACTAAGACCAGAAGCAATTTCAGAGTAACTCTTTGCCCTTACTCACACTGTGCCTAAGAACTCTGACAAACCCAGCCATACCATACTGGTCCCTCCACGCCACACTTCCTGATGGAATGCAGGAAAAGCATTGAAACAGCTTTCAGTGCTGCATCGTGGCTTTGAAGAAGCCCCTACTTGTGCATTCATCTCTTCACAGCTCTCACAGCACATTCCCAGACTTGAAGGAGGGAGATATTCCAAGTTATTAGAATTAGGGTATGTTTATGTGTGTGGGGGTGGATGCATAGAGGAAAAGACAGATGTCTCCTGGTGTCACATTCCATCATGAAGTGGGGTTTATCTAGGAAGGAGGCAAGGGTTTTAAAAAGCCGTAGGACTCTGGTGGGACCTGGGCAGAAGGAGGCATCTTCAAGAAAAGAGCCGTCAGTGCAGCTGGTAGGTGTAAAGGTGGAGGGGTCAATGGATGGGGGAGGGGATGTGTGAGGTCTCTCTAAAGGCCTATGTTAGGGAGCAGGAGGCCTGGGTTTTCTTGCTCTCATTCTCAGTTAAGTCTCTGCCCCACAACAATCCTGGCCCTATCCTCTTAGCAGGAAGCATCTGTACCCAAAGGCCTGCAGGTACTTTAGTGGTAAACAAATGGGAATCTCTTGCTTCTCCCTGCTAAAACCCAACCAGTCTCAGAGTCTGAGGATGGAGCAGAAAGACAAGGAACAATATATGGGAGCCTCATAGCCTGCTTTTCTTACCTATTACTCTCCGGAGAGGCAAATTATCCCTTCTTCTTCAGGAACCAGTGCCATACACACTCTTCCCCCACCTCCCCACACCCCTCCCTTCCACTGGAGCTGCTGCCATGGTTGCCAGGCATGGTTGCTAAGTCTCTGCATGGAAGGGTTGGCGTAGGCTGTGCTGCCACTAACATTACCATGGTGAATCAGGGGACACCTGGTATAAGCTTGGGGGGAGGGATCATGTGGATGTAAGCAACAACCCCTAGGACAAAATAAGCCTAAAAGGTGAGCATCTTAAGCACAACTTCAGGTGCGGGCTGAGTGAGCTAGGCATTGTGGTAGTGGTGATGGGGAGCTCTATGCTGGAAAACAGGGACCACTTTTATCATTTCAGTTGCTAGGGCTTGGTTTTGCCAAGGGAGCACACCGTTCTTCCTCCATCCCCTCTGAAAGGGTGCAAATGCATAAGCACCCTAGTCTGTCCTCCATAAGGCTCAGCAAAGCTGTGTGGGAACAGAACAGTATGACCCCAAAATCCTAGCTTTTGGATTGGGGGAAGTAACATGGTGTCAGGAGAGTGCTCCATAGGTGCCCAAGGACAAACATCTAGAATGAGAGGCAGCTTCTATGGCCAAGACAGACTCCTGTGTCCTGCTGTACCTGGGCTGCAGTTAAGGGTATGAGGGTCACCCTTTCTGAGCTTGGGGAAGGGAGCTCCTACCCTCCCCCACCCCCAGCTCGTACAAAAGCTGCATGAAAGCCACCACCTCCTCCCTCCACCACATGGAAGCTGGTTACTCATCTCCTCTCTGCACCCGAATGCCATTGCTGCTAAAAATAGCCCCCCCCCAGCAGTGGGCCAGCCCCTCCTGCACCCCAAACCCATGGAAACCAGCAAGATTGGCAGGCAGAGACACTGAGTTCATTTCCATCATCTCCCTGTCGAAGAGAAACTGAAGTCCGAGGCAAGAAGTCAAGGGCAGAACCCTGGTGGTCAGGCACCCTGACAAGCAGGGAAGTGAAGGGTTAAAACGGAGGAACGTTGAAGAAATGGGGCGGGGGAAGGGGCACTGTTAGCTTGGCAAGAATAAGAAGTCCCCTGCCCACTCGTGCAAGTCCCATCAGGCTTGGGGGACAAGAGCAGTGGGAAGGGGCACCAGATCCCGGGCCCCAGGGGGTGGCGGTGCACGTGGGGGAGGTAGCAGACCGGTGCCGTCCGCGCCGTGACATCGCGCGCGGGCGTGCGCGCGCTCGAGCGCACATACACACACACACACACATACACACACACAC